ATTTTTTGAGACTTATTTTATCTCCTTGCAAAATTCTAGCTATGGTTTGCTAACAAAACGGAAAAGGACTACCTGTTCAAAGTTATGCCTTCAATTATTAATAATGTCACGGCAAATTATTTTGAGCTTGTAATTTCAATAAAACACAAACAAGAAACCACTATTTGGTCAGGAGAAGACATGATATCAAGTCTATTGGATTTATCTTATGATATCAGTGATCCTGTGTCTAGTAATCCATCAACAATAATATTTTGATTAACAAATATTAATAGTCATCATTATTTATTATGGAAGTTATATTTGCACCAGTAACTTTAATTCCAATGAGCATAATAAATTCAAAGAACTTTACAAAAATATCCTAAATCAAATTAGTGATTGGGATAAAGTGTATGAACATTGGATAGATCTTTCTGGTAAAAATGTTGATTCAAATTCTTTTCATTAATTAAAGAACATTTGAAAGGGGTTTTTTCAGCAATTAATATTTTTATTTACAAAAAATAGAAGGTAAAAAAATAATTTTTAAATATTCAACATTAATGAAGGATTTTAACTATTTGTTTAATTATTTAAGATTCTTTTTCAACTCATCACCAAATACAAATGGTGAATATGGAGATATCACTAATTATTTACATAGTAATAATAGAGGATCAATATCACCAATGCCAATGTCACCAACAACAAAAGTGAACATATAAAGAACCAATTCTAATTGTTGTGGCAAAAGTAAATCTAAAGATTAAAAAGAACACCTGCTAAAAAGATATTATTCTGATGGTGTGAGTGTTAAGTACAAAAATACATATTCCATTTTCACGTTTGTGAACAAAAACCATATTTTCAAAACTGTAGTGATTAAGTTAATAAAAAAAATTAGTACACTCTATAATGATCCTTTCTATAACAAACTTTGCTCTATAAAGAACTGAGATTTAAGCTCTACTCGAAAACCTCTGTCTATAACGAATTTGTTAATTAAATTTTCTATACTGTTTCAGAAAATCATCCTGTTCTTCTAATTCTTTAAACTTTTAATGTAAAATAATGATGATTAATTGGATGAAACAATTTATGATTCGGAAATAATAATTGGTCCAGAGGGTGAATCTGAATTATCATCCGACAATGAATTTAATGGTGAAATTTGATACTTTTTAACCTTCAGTATTTTACAAAGTACTGTTGCACTTTTTTTATTTTTCATGATTTCACCTTTAAATATAATTCTATTCTATCTATATAGTGGAAACAAGGAATTGAAGAACAATAAAAGTTTTAAATTAGTAATTTTATAATTTTATTTGTAAATTAATTGTACATAATGATATTACTTTCTTTGAATTAAATTCATTAAATACATATAAAATGCAATATATACCCAATAAAAAAACAACCTCGTCGTTCAAATATACCATCATCCCATTGTGTTCTAGCAAATTTAAATCAATGGTCAATTGAAAGGGTTTGAACTTGAAAGTGAATGTTATAATGTGCATTTAACATAATAATAATAATAATAATACCACTATTTTCTAATCATGTTCCTTAATAATTATTATTTGTAAATGAACATAAAAAAATTTTTTGGTATCACATTAATAATTTCCGCCTTGCAAAAAGCACTTCATCAACTATTCTTGTATATATAATATTGTGTTTTACCTTTGGTATAATTTTGATTGACCAGTTTTCTTTGTTCTTAGCTAATTTGGTATTTTTATTATAATAATTTCTTTTTAATTTTGCCTTTGACGGATGTTCTTTAAATCTTTGAAGTAATTCTAAATGACTTCTGATATTTCAAAATAAGTCCTACCAATTCCTAGCATATTGGTGTATAGTGATCCCAATTAAGGATGTTAGCCGAAATTGTTTTTGAAAAAATCAATTTCGGCAAGCAATTTCAGATTCACAATATTTTTCATATTAAAGACCATAAAAAGACAACCTAGCATTTCGGCTATTATGTTAATGAGTCCAAATAATTTTGGATATAATTTTGGCAACTAATAAAGTTAATTTCAGAAACTATTTTGGCATTTCGGATTCGGCGATGATCATTTATTAAGAGAGGCAATTTCGGCTAACATCTATAATCCCAATGGTAGAAAATCCTTTCGTTAGACCCGGTTTTCTTTTTAAGACCAATTGTGCCATCAAAAGTATATCTTGTTCAGACTCGGAAAGAGCTTGAAAGGCTTCATATAATTCTGCAAACTCTTCTTTTGGAACCATTGCTGAACAACCACAATCACAATCTTTTCCTAAGAGAAACATACAATGATTTTATTAATAAATATTAAAAATTATAAGATAAAAATCACTAGAGAATTGCATGGAATGTAATTGATGAACATTGCCTATTCTTTGGTCACTTCGTTGGTAGGTTTAGACCATTATTTTTTATGGAGCCAGATGACCAAATTTCTTGGAGGATTTTTAATTTACTCTTGATAAATCATATTTTAAATCAATTATTAGATACTATTTCTGGTATTTATTTACAGATTCACCAAATTTAATTCTATCCCATCCACTTTACCTGTAAATAACAGGGCTAATTTTAGAATCCTCTTCAATTTTAAAATAATTGAAACCTCTACAAATTGAATAAAATTTTTATGTAAGGGTTACGTGTACATGAAAAGTGATAATTATAATGTTTTACTAAATATGAAAAAGTAATTTATTTTTTAGTTGAGTCAAATAAATGTTACTTATAATACCTTTGTCTCCACTATTGTATTATAATATTTATGACGAGCATGTAACACATTTGATGTTATTACTTATAATAAATAATTATGAAGAAATGAAATTCTCCAAAATATAAAATCTGATATTGAACACAGGTGTCAGATTTTAATAAATTTCCTCCCCCCAGCATGCAATTGACTCCTCATATCCATGGAATTTTTCCACAGGTGAAGGCGGATTGACACACGCTAGAAGGCTTTTGGCAAGCAAGAGGTTTTAGCCATCTTCTTGTAATGACACAATTTCATTAAACCTCAGGACATCGCACCCCCCTGAAATCTATTGCATCATTGTATAATAGGAGCAACAGCCAAATTAACCTTTTGTACATGAGGAATAAGAGAAATTACTTCAAGCTCAAAACATTTAAACTATAACACTTAAATCATCCAAGTTTTTCTTTATGAAAAATTTCCCAAGTAAACAAATATGTTTGTTGATTGATAATTTATTTTCCAAAACAACAAACAATGTTATTTATTACTAAAAGTTGTAATGTTGCACAAATAATATTTAATTTATTTTAGTTGAGATACACTTCCTGGTCATAAATATAAGGACACTTGCAGATCATCGGAAATAATTGAATAAAGAAACATGAAAAAAAAT